CGGGCCTTGGGCGCCCCCCGCCCCCAGGCCTCTCCTCCCGGGCTCCAGGGTCCCTCAGCCCCGCGCACCGGCCCGGGGCCCTGGGACGCCTGCTTTTTAACAGATCCTCCCGGTTTAGTCCCGGTAATCGTTCCCTGAAGGCCTGGGGTGAAACCTGCGCTCGGCTCTGGGATGCGGCTGCCTTAGCGTGAGGCATTAAACCGGAGTTTTTCCTCAGATGAAGTTATCCGCAAGCGACTTCTGATCGATGGCGATGGTGCTGGTGACGACAGGCGGATCAATTTGTTGGTGAAGAGTTTCATTAAGTGGTGTAATTCCGGATCTCAAGAGGAAGGGTATTTGTTTTCTGTTTTTTTGTTTTGTTTTGTTTTTGGTTTTGTTTTTTTTTTAAGTCTTGAACCTGATTAGCTTGCATTTCAGTGGAAAACTGGGCTTGATGCGTTTTGAAAAGATCCGTGTTAAAATGTATACATCAGCTTTTCGGTATGGCTCTGTGGTGTTTTCAGTACAAACACCGAGCGCTGTGGTAGGAGATGAGGACTAGAGACGGGTCAGAAATTACTGAAGGCTGCAGGCTGTATCATGAAATCTGCCAGTGCTGCTCAAATACCCTGAGGATTGTCATGCCGCTGCGTGATCTGTCTGGGAGTCCTGCTATTATAACAGGATCATGACTCGAATATTTTAGTTGGCAGTTCTGCATTTGTTCTGTTAGGGAAGGGTAGTACTGCTTGTATTTCTGCTGCTGTGGTTCTCTTGTTTGTGTTTTGTTTTTTTTTTAAACAGGCTAAAGTAGTAAGAGATGAGTGAGAACGTGGTGTTCTGCTGTGGGGTCCATAGTACTACTGGATATAAATTCCCGGAGGACATATGTAACAATTGTGTACAGAGGAGCACTGCAGTATTAAAATACTAATCTCCGTGGTCACAGAGCCAGCTCTAGCTGGCAAGTTTATAAGCCGCGGATCAGTCTACCCAGTGCTTTAGTACTCACTTTACACCTATAGGGACATGATGGTGGAATTAATGGGGGCAATTTTTCTAACTGCACTTTCAAAAAACTATACATTGAATCTTTGAAATATTTTGTTTATTTAATAATTGTTATTTAATTGTTCCTTATGCTACATGAGGCTTTGTTTTCTTGTTTTGTAAAGGTAGGGGGTATTTTTATGCTGTTTAGGAATAAATATCTTGTCTGTTTTCAGTTACAGCCAGTACCAACGAATGCTGAGTACTTTATCACAGTGTGAATTTTCAATGGGAAAAACTCTTCTGGTGTATGATATGAACCTGAGAGAAATGGAAAATTATGAAAAAATCTATAAGGATATAGGTAAAGATGAGAAAATATTACTGTTTTCTGTTTGACAATTTCTCTTTTATGAACAAGCTCGAGCCAGTTCTGGTGAACATAATAAATACATATGATGAGTGGGTTTAGGGTGTTTTTTTTTCTTTTTCTTGATAGGTAGCACTCATACATATGCTGTAAGAATCTTGTCACTATATAAAATACATACAAATAAAAGCTTTTTTAACTTATTGAAGTGTAGGTAGTTTTGAAGCTGATGGAGCTAGCATGCCAACATGTCACAATCGGCTCTTTATCTTTTTATAAGTTAGCAGAATGGCTTGTTGACATGTATTGTTTGATTTCAATATAACTGTATACTTTTTTTTTAAAAAGAAAATAGTATAGCTGCAGCACATGAGAAGATTTCTGAATGCAAAAAGCAAATCCTGCAAGCAAAAAGGATTCGAAAAAATCGCCAAGGTAAAGAGCAATATTGGTATTTACATTGCTCAGTTTCATTATCTTTTAAAATACATTGTATTAGAAAACAGATTCCAAATTTTTAAAAGTGCAAGGGAATATACTGGCGTCATGAATACTACATTTAGTCTCAGAGGTTCCCACTACTGAAAATTTTTGGTGGATGAGTACTGTGTCCAGTTCTGGGCCCCGCACTTCAAGAAGGACGTTGAGGTGCTGGAGCGAGTCCAGAGAAGGGCAATGAAACTGGTGAAGGGCCTGGAGGGCAAGTCTTATGAGGAATGGCTGAGGGAGCTGGGGTGGTTTAGCCTGGAGAAGAGGCTGAGGGAAGACCTTGTCACTCTCTACAACTACCCAAAAGGAGGTTGTAGCGAAGTTGGGGTCGGCCTCTTCTCCCAGGCAGCTAGTGACAGGACAAGAGGGCATAGTCACCAACTGTGCCAGGGGAGGTTCAGGTTAGACATTAGGAGGCATTTCTTCACAGAAAGGGTCATTAGGCATTGGAATGGGCTGCCCAGGGAGGTTGTGGAGTCCCCATCCCTGGAGGTGTTCAGGAAGACTGGACATGGCACTTAGTGCTGTGGTCTAGTTGACATGGTGGTGTTAGGGCAAAGGTTGGACTCTGTGATCCCAGAGGTCTCTTCCAACATAGTTGATTCTGAGAGGTAGGCAAGATTGAACCAGTAGGTCTCAATGACATGCAACATCAGGAGAGACTAAACAGTAGTTCAGAGAGATGTTTTCAGGCCAAAGAAAAGCAACCAAAAGCATCCTGTCACAATTCAGGTGACTTGAGAAGAACTAAGGCACATTATTAACAGCAAGACAAGAGTTGAATAGACTTATACCCAGTGCTGAAGATCTGCAAGTGTATTCCTTCAGCTCTTAAGGGAGGGTAGTATCTCGGCATACACAGAGACAGTGGTGCCAGTTACACACCCAACAGCTCTGTATGTGTGCTTAGTGAATACCTGTTATGAGAGGTGTATTTTTTCCCTACTCTTAAAAGTATGTGCTGATAATTTCAATTGAAACTTAGAGCATTTCCCTGTGAAACTGTCTTATCAAAAGATTAGCAATCGAGGAGAAGCAAGAATTTGTTTTTTCTTGACAAATGAAATGCAAAAAGAAAATGTTTAAGAGTAAGACAGATGAAAGATTTGAAGTACAACTGTTTGATCAATTTTGTGGATAATTTTAGACTCAACTGGGAATTAAAAAACCTTAACCAGCATTAATGCAGGATGTATTCCAAAATACCAGGATGTAAATTCTTGCATTTACACAAGCATAGGTCTGAAATGTTTGCTTTTTGATATGTTCTGTCCAGCCTGCAGCACAGATTTTTCCATGTGAATGAGGTAGTTGGCATACGTACAATCTTACTGTCAGTAAATGGCTATGTTAGTTGCCTATATAACCATAACATTGTTCTTAATGTGTAATACAGGTTTTTTTTTTAAAAAAAACCTGTTTCTCATGCAGCATTTCATACTTTTTTCTAAAAATCTTAAATGTTTTTGTGTAACATCTTATCAGCACCATTTTCTGTACATATACATTAGACTGTATCTAAAACCAATGCTTATGAATCATACACAAAAGACCAAACGTGCAGCAATGCAGAGCTATCTAAAGGTCATGTTGTCTGGCCTCATCCTTTGCGAATCACTAGCACTGGGTAAGTTTGAGTGAGTAGATAATGGCCTACAATCATATCTGTAGTTTATTAAAAATCTGTTTTGATGTCATCGTCTAGTTTGAAATGTTATAGCACGGTTTATATACATTTTTATATGTGTATATTTGCAGGTAGTTTTTTATATATGTATGGTGTTATGTACAAGTTTGAAAAATGTTAGGACAGTTTTTCAAGAAGGAGACAGAATCTTGTACCTGATTTTTTTATTCTTGAATCAATACTTTCAGAATTATTCAGGCTAACTATTTAAATTTCTTTCAGAATATGATGCATTGGCCAAAGTCATACAGCACCATCCAGACAGACATGAAACACTGAAGTAAGTATGAGTCTACTTTGAATTATAATAAGGCAGTAAGCTAGAAGTTACCAGGTTTGACATGTCCTTGATTTCAGTTTGACCTTTCCTCGCTTTGCTGTAACTTCTTTTGACACAAGAAAAACTTGGGTTTTGTTTTAAAATTATGCCCTTATCAGCTTTCTTTAATTAATCTCCCATCTGTATGGGTTCAGAAGCTTTGCTAATCATTTTGTAATTGAAATTTTTCCATTATTAAGGTGAATAAGTGAGCTCAGATGTAAATGCACCTCTGATGTTAGTTTACCAGGGATGAGTTGCTCAGAACAGAGAGTGGGGAAGTGCTGTAAAGTGCGCCAGCAAGGGATTCAGTAGTCACACAAAATACATAACACACGAGCAAGTAAGGTGGAATGAGAGAAAGCAGGAGAAAGCTCTTAGGTTTTTATCTTTTCCTTCTAGTAGTTCCTGCATGCCCGGTTATAAATTACTACATTGCGTACCACAATATAACCTGCCCTGGCACGCAGGTTAGACCTACCAGTTGTCCAACTCGTCTTGCATGTAACTTACAGCATTGCTTGTGTCATTGTTGGATTTGGATCGCTATCTGTGCTTTTGGGTCATTTTGAGCAGTTGTGGCGAGATAATCTTTTTAACTTTATCAAGCTACAGAAAAATTGCAGGACTCGTTGCATCTATGAGTTTGTTCTTCTTAACCTAATTAAAGATGTAGTATGGAGTTACTGTTCTTAAGTGCAGCTTGTGCCTATCCTGTTGCCCACTTTCAGTGAAATTGCAGAAGGAGACTGTCTTTTCACATTCCGTTGTCTTTCATAGCAAAAGGAAGATTTTTGATTGTATTATTACCCTAATAATAGAATTTTAATAGCTATAAGCCACTAAGGATATTTCACACATTTCTTTCTTGTATGTTGTTTTTCTGTGCCTTGATTTCATTAGCACAACTTTGATTATTCCAGGCAATTCTCATGAGGCTTGACTGCTTCTTACTTCATTAGTCAGGCATGTGCCATTTATCAAGTGAGGCTTCATAACAAAGAATTATCAAAAGTGACGTTTTTCAGATAAATCAATTGATTAAGAATGGAAACAACTAAATGATAATACTTTTCTTCCTAGAAGATGCCAGGTTGTTTAGGTTTGGAGGGGTTGTTCTAATTTTGCTTAACATATCCAAGCATAAGTTTCTTAAGGAATGCTAGAAATGGTGGTAAGTTACAGATAGTAAATTTGGCATTTTGTCTTTTCTTAAACTTAATTTTGTAATCTCTTTAGGAGAGTGTATTACAGTTAGAAATAGCAGTGTGTTCATCCACTGGAACACTGGCTACAGTGTAAGCCCTTTTGTCCTTAGTCCTTCGTACCTGTAGTCAAAGACACAGACTTGAACTATAGCAGTGTGTGATCCCCCATTTTACAGATGGGGAAATAAGACATAGTAATAGGATGGAACATTTTTAAAGGGCCCTTGGTACATAGGTGTTTTAAATATAAGAACTAGATGAAATTTTCATCCAATGTTTTAATTACACGGCTTCCTTTCTCTCCAGTTTGAGAAAACTATACAGAAAATCATACTATGAACCAAGAAGGACCACCCTTAAATCAGAATGGAGGAAGCCTCACTAACAATGTTAGACTTTTCATGGAACTCTTAATCACTAAAAACACTTGAGAAAACTTCTTGTGAGGAGAAATGTCATGGGTTATTGCGAGAGTTACATTTATAGCTTTTGCAGGTTATATGGCACAATAGGACAAAGTTCAGAAAAATACTTTCTGTATGCTTTTAAGGGACTGTTTCTTGGAACAACTAGTCATACAGCATGAAAGAAGAGAAGCTGTTATCAGCTTAGTCACAAGTAATGCGCAGGAGCCAATTCAGGAAGTGACAGGAGCTGAACTACTAAATGGCAGTGCCCACAGTGTAATTAGATGCAGTATCAGAAGAGCTGTTAAGAGGACCAAGAAATGACACCGAGTCTTAGAAAAGGAGACACAAAAATGAGAAGGCTAGGCAAAGATTCTCTGGAGTGGAAAGTAAAAAAGTAAATTTCCAGATGTAGCATGGATGTTACTAGAAATAAATTGCATGTCTTCTTGCAGTCTGCTTATACCTGACAGCACAGTGTAAACAGCAAGATTTGGCCAAATGGAAGTCTTTCAGAAACTAGAAACCAAAAACTAGCAAAATCACTGTATGAGCCTATAGCCTGTTTCCATTAAAGGAAGGGATAATACCACACCCTGCCCTCTTTCAGGCATTCCCTTCAAGGTACCAAGCATACTGGCTCAAAAAAAGACAACACCCTCAGGTACCACTAAAACAGACCTTTCTCCCAGCCATCCTGAATTACTTAGGACTTGGAGGCCTTTTTGTGGTTCCCAGCCCAGACTAGTTGCAGCAGCTGTGGGTGCTTCAGAAAAAAAAGTTTTATTTCCTTGCTGAGCCCTGTGTGGCCCTGCCTGCTAGTTAATCAGGGGTGGTCAGCCTCAATCCACTTCACCTTTAAAGAAACAGATCGTTCACATTGCATGGAGCAGAAATTATGGTAAGCATTAGCAGAAAAGTAGAAGGGCCAAACTGGAGGTTTGAGTGTAAGAGTTGACGCTCCATCCTCATTTGAAAGCTAGTGTACATTATGGTACCTGTTATTCTTTGCCCTAGTTCAAAAGGGATTGTGGTGGTCCATGGTGGGTCCAAGTGAGAACAGAAAACAATCAAACGCTTGCAGAAAGATCCCAAAGAGGTGTTGAAAGATGATGTATTTCAGAAGGATATGAGTAATAATGAAGATTTTAAGAGTTGCATGTTTCCTTTATCTCTTAATGCCAGAGGCAATCAATTAAAGTAAAAGCTAGCATTTGAGAAGGAAATGAGTATTTATATGGATCACAGTGTTAAATTCCGTGGGCTGAGGCATAAGCTATCTCATGTAGTTTCATCAAAAATGTGGATTATTCTACATATGCCTACTGTAAAGTGTACATGTTATCCAGTACTCTCTTTGGTTAGGCCATTGTCAGAGATAAGGTCCTTGACTGTGTGTGGTCGACTGTTGTGTCTGGGAATTGTTGTGTTTGTATATTGGGTATGTAAGTTTATCAAATATGTTCTCCGTGCTGATGCTGTGTTTTTATTTAATCTACTCATGTCAACATAAAAAAAAAATCTCTGAAGTAGTGAAGCCTATGAAAATGCCATAGGTGTTTAATATAACCTGTTCCTTTAACTTTCGTTGTATGGTCAAGTAAATAACATGTTTGTGGCAAGACTGAATTGTAACGGTCCGAATGTCCAGTGTACAACTGTATTCCAGCTTGGAGGCCTTGTTTTCTGTAAAAAGTCCTGAAATAACAAGTTTATGACATAGTAGTTCAGCATCTATGTGAAGTGGACTTTCCTCTGTGTAATTTCATTTGTTATGAAATTTGTTTACCTATGCTGTTTGTTCAATGGTTCTTTTTCCTCTACTTAGTTCAAATCTATTTTGCCAGAATTTTACAGAACTTTTAAAAAATACTATGACAATTTCTTTTCAGGCAGCTAGAAGCTTTGGGAAAAGAACTGCAACATCTTTCTCACATCAAAGAAAACGTTGAAGATAAGGTAGGTTTTTCATAGAGATTGTTATATAATAATTTATTAGGAACATAATTAATGGAGACTCTGCTATGGGTTGTTTGGCTGTATGTTCTCTGTTTCCTAAAATATGTATTTTATCATTCCAGTTGGAGCTGAGAAGAAAGCAGTTTCATGTTCTCCTGAGCACCATCCATGAACTTCAGCAAACCCTGGAGAGTAAGTGGGGTTCTTAGGTAATATATGTAACTGGGTTGAGTTTCAGCGGATCAAAAGGAATCAGAGCTTCCAGCAGTGGGCTAGCTATGTGCAATTGAGGTTGGTGACCTCTTGCATCGGCAGCATGTTTTTTCCCAATAGTAGGCCACAGCCTAAGACTGAACGGAATTTTTTTCTTCTACAAGCTAGCCACTGTGTAATTTCCTGACTAGCTTCAGGTTAATCTGTAGGCAACAGACTGCTTTAAAACATGGGGATGTAGAATAGCAGAAGGTTGGTTTTTTAAAACAGATAAAAGTGTTTCTTACAGAAAAGTATTATTGTGCATATTTCCAAACTTACTTGTATAATTCCTGTTTCAGTAGTTTTGAATGTGTCACTGCCATCATGGTATCGTTTGAGACTTTTCTAAAAAGAAATTGGAATACAGGAAAGCTAAATGACTTACCTACTCACTGAGTCTGTAATAGAGCAGGGACTAAAACCGTCATATCCAAGAGCTAAATTCAGGAATTTAGTCATACTCATCTTTTGTCATACAAATACTTAGTATTTTTAAATCGATGCTTATTTTTCATGCTGTAATATGGATAATATTGTTTAAAATATTATTTGCTGGATATTTGCTGTGTCTTTCAAAGATGGAATAATTGGTATAGCCTTTGAGCGTGACCTGATTAAGTACATAGATGGCTATAAGAGCAGACTTTCATTCTCTAAGGCCGTCTAGATCTTCTTAAGCAGAATGAACTGTTAATCCTAGGTGCACTTTAGCAGAAGGTTATTGTTCTTAGGTGTTACTAATACTTGGTTAAGTATTAGTCTCTGAAACACATTTTCATATGAAAGTATACCTTACCTTTCAGCTTCTAGGATTTTGTGAAGGAAGTAACATTTTAGTGGAAGGCACAGCTTCAGCTTGAAATAAATAAACCATTAATAGGCAGAGAGAAGCCATGTAGTTTCAAGCAATCTGGTACTGTTTGCTTGAATTGATACTACAGGATTTACCTCATGTTTCCTGTAATAGCTGTTACACATAACAGCCCTAAAAGCTTTGAAGGATTTTTTTCATTTGAACATAGCATTTTGTATAATGGGATACTCAACTACACCTTTAAGGCAATCAGCATAAAATATTTGTGGGACACAGCTCTGCAATATAGTCTGTAAATACAACCAAGCATGTTTGACTAACAGTAATATTGCATTTCAGATGACGAAAAACTTTCAGAAGCTGAAGAATCTCAGGAAACTCAGATGGAAACAGAGACCAAACAGTAGATGTAATATGAAGACTGACCATACTATTGAAGAATGTCCAAGTGTCTTCACTTTGTGTTGAAACCAACAGTAAGAGAGATGGAGCCGAAAAAGTTTTCTACTGCTTCTGTGAATTTTTATACAAAAATACTTGTTTTGCTTATGCTTCAGGGAAAAAGAGTTACAGATGTGTGCAGACAGGTACTTTGCGTTAATCCACAAACTTTGTAATTTGTGACAAGAAATATATTTTGTTTTACAAAGGATGAAGTTTCTGCACAGTACTTGTGAACTAAGGTGTTTGCAAAGCATTGTCAATAAAAGATGTTTACAAAGACTGCCTGCTAAAAATAGGAAATTGAACCTGATAGTAAGGGCTCCTTTTCTTACTTGACATTGGACTGAGGGCAACGCATCTTTGCATGAGTCCCAGCTTCCACACCCTAGTCCAGACGGGACCTAAAACTGAACTAAGTAGGGTCTTAATTTTTCAAAGCAGCTTCCGTTTTAGAACTTACCTGTGACTAGACACTAGAATTTGCTACTTTCATATGAAACAAATTACTTCTATAGAATTAATGCTTGTCAAGGGGTGTAAAACAACAAAAAATTTACTGTACTAGCTTTACTTTTTTTCGTAAGGTGATGCGAAGAAATGCGATGATCTGAGCCTCGCTATGCTGTGTTCTGTGCAACCACATCAAAAGTCGTATTTTGAAACGACATGTTTAAAATGGCAATTTGAAAGCTTTGTTCTTGTAGAACCAGGAATCTAATCCTGATACTATTTATAATCTGCTTCTGGATTTTTATCTGTCAATTGACTATTATGAAATATATCGTAGTTCCTGAAACAGATGGTAGAACCCTTCCTTTCTCATTATGACAAACGGAAGCAGTAGTGCAGCAATCACCACGTTAAAGAATCTCAGATACTTTTATTATTAATAGGAAAGGTGGAATCTATCCGCCTGGGTCATCCTGCAGTCCGAGCAGTGTGCTGGGAGGTAGGAAAAACAAGTTTCAACCTTCCCAACAAGATAAGAGAATTGAGTATGCTCAGCTCTTGTAAGGCAGGCAGGAAGGAACGAGGGGCAGCAGTAGGTCATGTCACTACCTGTTAGCAATGTTCTAAAAACACTTGTTACATCAAGCTTTCCGATGGTTTGGGTAAAGGGAACACATTTTGGATCACACTCAGACTGTCATAAGCATATGTGGTTGAAGTAAAATAACGATGTTATACAGAATAGAGCCTCCTCATCAAACTGGGTGACAGCTGAGGGGGATTTTCAGGATCATGACTTTGGACTTTTATAGTCTAAATGCCATATAATTCCCACTCTCAGTGGCTGTGGCTCTATGTGCATTGGGCTGAACAGACAGATCTGAGCTTGTTTTGCTCGCATTCCAAGTTTGCTAAAGGCAAGCCAGCTGAACAAGAAGTCACACAACTTCAGTAGCGCAGTGCTGCCTTGGACTAATAAGCTGTCAAAAGTCTTCTAGTTCACAGCTGGTCAGCTGAGAACACAAGGGAAGCTCAGGTTTGCCTGATAGAGCCTGTGTAGACATGCAGTGCTTCTCACGCACTTTACATTTTGTAATCTGGGGGGAGCGGGTAAGCAAACAAAAGGGATTTAATATGAAAAATACACTGTCAAAAAGTATTTAGTGTTCTGTGTTTTTTCCCCTCCTAACAACAGTGAATAGTAAAATATTTTGTAAGGCAGCAATACTAAATTATTGCCAAATCAGGGAGGAGTCACTTTCATGAACGTATGAAGATCATAAATGACAGTCTCAAGACACTTTTAAAGCATATTAACATTTTTTGTGGTTGAAAGGCCCTCCCTGTGAGCTACCGGGATTGTATTTTGGTGCAGAGGTGGATGATAGTTACCAGCTAAAAATGGTCTCAGTAACAGCATTGTCATGAAAACCTCAAATTTTTCCATTCATTGGTCTACGCAGTTCTTTGGAAATTATTTGGATCACTCAAGTATCTTATCGCAGAACTTGTGCTGCTCTGTATAGAACCAGACCAGAAACATGCCAATGCGTGAGTCTGTCCCTCTGCTAAGGAATACATACACAGAAACAAAAGTTATATGGAAGAGAAGCAATATGAACACACGGCAAAGTAAGGTGTATATTCTAGTTTGAATTGCAGTGATGCAATCTTGAAAAGAAATTACTGCCCTAGAAAATCAAGTCACCCTAGAGCAATGTGGCAGCAAGAGGGTGATGTCACCGTGCCGCCTTGGAGAGCGACATCCGTTCGTTGCAAATGCAGCCTCAGTGGGACATCCGAAATACTTGCTCCTATTTTTTTCGGTATTTATACCTCTAGCCTCTTGAACATTACATTTGTACTAAAAGAGAAACAAAACCAAATGAAACTCTAATACTGGGCAACGTTTAACCTGCTGTGTTACTAAGCCCCAAGTTCCAGGTTCAAATCTGCTCTGCCTATGTTGGAAATGTGTATCTGCATCCGCTTTATTCTTCTATTTAAGTTTTCTTTATGTCCCGTTTCCAATGCACAGATGATAGTTACTGTTTTATCCCTGCCTGGAAAGCTGTCCTCTATGATGCCACTTAGCTGCATTGACTCTAAATAGACATGTATAAAAAAATCTGTAAGTACATAAACTCAGGATCCCAACGACACTATTTAAATAAGAAATCTTTCCTGTGTTTATGGTTTACCTTGCCCCTATCTGAGCTGAAAGATGATTAAATGCCTAAATGCTCCATCTTAATGCCATTGCCATGTGGATGCAAAAAATACAAGCAGAAAGAGAGATGCTGAAGTGATAAGCTGACATTTTCTGTGCCAGGACTTGTTTTTCTGTCCTCTCCAAATGAGAGCGGTAGAGGGGGAGTGGAACATCAGACGAAATTGGTAACTTGGGCAGAATTTTTTAAGAGAGATTTAGTGAGCTCCATGGAGGGATAGAAGAAGGAAGAGAAAGACGGTCACGGTGACACACTGCCAAGCGATGGGCTATCTCTGAATGGTAATTTGAAGACAGCTGCAGCCAGCAAAGAAAATTGCAAAAAAATATGTCCCAAAGATTTATGAGATAGCAATTATTCATTATTTTAGATACTTGTCCTGTAAGTTTTCCAGCTGTCACAGCTGACTTGCACCATGCTTTCCCCAGCTCCTTTACTCAAGTCTCAGGTGGTTCTCCTTTTTTTGTGAGTTTTAAAAAAAAAAAAAAAAATTCAGAAATACAGGCAAGTACTGTTAGTTTTGCTCTGGGAACCTGCGTGATTTTTATTTTCTTGAATACATGCATTAGGGAGATACTATACTAGTGTATGAGCCACTTTATATATGTGTATATGCATGCAACAGACCCCAGGGAAAGCAAGTTACCAATAGAGAAGCGCTCTACCTTTCACGCTTCATCCTGGTGGTCAAACGTGTTCTTGGGTTACCTCAGCCTTCATTTCCCATGTCTATTTTAGTAAACATTATCATCTGTGTTGCAGAAGTCCCTAGAAGCGCCATTCGCAGCCCAGGGCCTGCGTGTTGCTGGGCACCATGCAAAGGCAGAACAAAAAGGCTGTTCCTGCCCGGCTCTACTGGGCAGCACCACAACAGCCGGGACGCAAAGCCGGGCCTGGAGCAGAGCGTCCTGAGCAGAATGTGCACCGCAGCCTGCCTGCAAACACCCTGATCTTCACCCTGGCCTGGCGTGATTCACCTGCCTGCTATCAGCGGGCAAGAAGCCAGCAGGAACCGGCACAGCATCACCGCGTGAGGCTGCTCAGTTACGTGCTGAAGGCACTTGGGGAATGGGATGCCAGGGCTGGGGACCCAGCACATCCCTGCTGACAGGACTTGGCATCCTCATGTCAAGGAGCTTCCCAGGTGTTCAAGAGTAATCCTAAAGCCGGGGACACAGGATCCCGTGGTCTTTGTGCAGGTTAGCAGAGTCCTGAAGGGAAGGATGAGGGGCCTCACACCTCTGTGCAGGGTGAAATGCTGGAGGGCTTGCTCCATAGAAAGAGGAGAGCTAGGTCTGTCCTTGCTAAAGGTTGTGTCGGGCAGTCGCTGCTGGTGTTGCTGGCTGAATGGCAGGAGCTGGTATTAGAGGAACCCATGAGGAAGGAACACGGAAGCAAACTCGTTTTTCTACATCTGTTACATTTGTGGTTTGGGTTGCTTTTGTGCGAGTCCACACGTTTAGTTTACACAAACTACGGCAGCTCCCGGGAGCCAGGCAAGCCGGAGCTGCCAGCGAGGCAGGGCGCTGACTTACACCGCCCAAAGGTTCGGCCCCATGGGCTTGGGGACACCTCTGAAACTCGCACCCAAAATGATTCACCGCTGCACAGACAGGCACCTACTGAAGTACCGCAGAGGCAGGAGGGAGAAGTTAGT